TTTGTGTGGTACTGGCTTAAGAATAGGCTTACATAGTTTCTCCAGTTGACAACGTCAGCTAAGAATTGACTGAAGACTGCCAAGTTTCTGTAGCTCTTAACATTGCGCGTTAATTGCTCCGCTGTCTAACGACATTTGATTTCAGTAACAAAATTCGGTTCCGCTTTAAAATTCTTAGCTTCGCAAACTGCTGTTTTCCTGGGTTTAAATTCCCCAAACTTCCTCTGTCTTGAATATTTGGTCTTCGTTTTCAGATTCGCAAACGGATACATCTGATTCGTGCGCGTTAATTTTGACGCTTCACCGTCTCAGGTTTTGTTTAGACGATTTTTCCTTCTGGCGACAAATCGCCGCGAAATTATTCGGGTTTTGAAAATATTTGGCAAATTTGGCCATGCGCGATACAGACTTCTCGCTTGGGTGGACCTTCTTTATCACATGCATCCACTGCATTTATTTTAGTGCTTGTCTCGATCGGCGCTTTTGTTTCCGTTTCGCTTCGCTTACTTTCATTGTATTGTCTTCTGATACAGCCGATGTATAATGAATATACGGTCTAAATAATATCGGCACTTAATTGAATGCCGGCAATACATAACATCAATTTATATATTGCGTATAAATATGATCTCAAGATTTTCTCAATATTCATATTTGAAATGTTTATATATTTGAAAACAACAGTCTCGCTCCTTCCTAGCACTGTATATTGAATATACCATCAAAATAATATCGGGACTTAATTGAATGCTTAGAATCTCAAACATTTTCTTAACGAAAATATTCATGTTTCAATGAAATGTTTATATGTTTGAAAACAACACTGTGTCAGTCCTTCCTAGCTCTGTAGTTGATTGAATTCCTGTAATGCATAACATCATTCTACTGTATGTATTGCGTATAGATTCTCAAAGATTTGCTACTGGAACTAAAAGACCTTTGTAAGATATCCAAAATAACATCGATCTCCTGTACTTGCATACACGCTTGGTTGAGTCTAGACTTTCCAAAGTCCTTTCCAGGCCCTTATATGGCGCGCTCACTTCCTCTGTGGAAAGGACTTTTGTCACTTGCAGCGAGCCAAATATCACCGGAGGAAAAATCCACCGGTGACGTCATTGTTTGCATTGAAGCCCGAAGCGGTTTATACATTGTCGGTTATTATCGAAGGAGTCTAAAAATAATATTATATTCTCAGAATTTTTGTTGAACAAATGTGTATTATTGAAGCAAACAGAGTAAACAATGTAATTACAATTTTGTAGAACACAAAAACCATGTGAAAATACACAAACAAACATAACATTGAGTATAAAGTACAGGGTGTAGAAATAAACTTTAATACTGTCATCGAAGATGCCTTTGATGAGTAAAATTTCCTCACTACTAGTTTCGGGTTTAGTTTGGATTTCTTGATCTTGATTACTGATTATTACAAATTCGTATGCTGAGAAAACAATGCGTATTTTTACTGGATTTTGAACTCTAGCGACGTCTTCTAGTTGATCACAATCGCCGCTTCCCTGCTTCTTGGTTTAAACAGTTGTCTGATTCTTTTCTTGAATTAGATTAACTTCTACTACGTTAAATCGCTGGCGACCTGAATCAACTTTCTATAATAAGTCTAATAAATTACTATTCTTGTCGACACGATTACGGCACACATTGTTAGACAAACAACTGCCCAGATTCAATAAGTTTTTACATGCACTTGTTTTTGTTGATACATTGAACAGCTTTCGGCGCTTACGTGGGTCAGTTATTTCGTTTCCATACTTGGTGCAAACTGTTTCATTCGACGACAAAGAAATATCAATTCTAGAGAATGTTTTTGTAGACCCATTGTCGGCGCGGTGAAGCATTTGTATGAAATATACACACGCTTTTATTTCAAAATTATTCGCGCCAAAATTTTTAATGCGATTTAAATTCCTGCAAGCGACACAAGTCGACCACTCGCGACTTCGTCGCTCGGGTCGCGTGTTCCCTTCCCGCGCCCTTCCTCCCCCATGGTCGACTTGTGTCAAGTCTAGGTTGAGTCGGATTAATTTACGTATTCATAAATCTATTTCGTTCAATAATTCAGAAGAATATTCGACGGTTTATCATGCGTCAAAGCTCGAGCCGGAGTAAAAGGCATATTTTTGCGTGTTTTGCATTCTTGAGAGCTATTTTAGCCAATGAAATGCGTTAGAATTTTACGTTTGTCCTGCTCGCCTGAGTTGAGCAGGACTAAACTTCTGGCAAGCCACCCATTTTTTCCTGCTTTTGCCTGCATACAAGCAAAGGCTCGATATTCATTCATAATAAGTTAAATAACGTTCACTCACATAATGAATTTCTCTGTTTAAAAATTTCTGCGCAACGTGCTGAAGTTAGGAAAATGTAAGAACATATGTCAAGCTGGATAAAAGTGTTTTCTTTTAAAAATTATATGCGTAAAAAATTCATTATCTGAAATTTTTTATGTCATGCTCAGCTGGACAAGCAGGACATCTGGCTTCGCCACTGCTGCTTGTGGTCTTTGCGCCCAGCTGTTAAATGTTCGTAGAACGCAAATCTCTTGAATGTTTACTCAGCATGACAAGATTAAAATTAGAAAATTGTCACGCTTGTTTAAATCAAATAAGCTTTCATTAAACTTAGAAAAAACAAAATTTATTGTAGTTAAACCAACACAAAAGGAATATAATTATACTTTTCAAATAATCATTAGTAATGCGTATATTGAGCAAGTGAAAGAAACTGTCTTTTTAGGCGTAGTATTGTATGAGGAATTATCTTGGAAATCACACATTTCGTATGTAGCACGTAAAATGTCTAAACCCATGGGAATAATGTTAAGAGCCAGTTTTTATCTACTTAGGAAATCCTTACTCACTTTGTACTATTCAATTGTTTACCCGTATATTCATTATTGTAATACTGTTTGGGCTTCTACGTATCCAAATAATCTTCATCGTATCAATATAGCTACTGCAAAAGCGAGCAATTAGAATTCTAAATAAATGTAAATTTGATGCACATACAGAACTTTTATTCAAGAACTGTTCTATCCTTAAAGTTAATGATATATTTCTATTTCAATTGGGTAAATTTATGTCCTCTTATCGCAGGTCTTTTACCAAATAAATTTAATGACATGTTTCTACCAAATTATCAAGTCTAGTCATATAATACAAGGAGTGCGGTGGCCATTAGATCTCCATTGTGTCGTACAAATATCCGACAATTTTCTGTAAGATTTCAGGGTCCAAAGTTTTTTATCTCACTACCTATTGATATTATTAATATTACTTCTTTTGTTTCTTTTAAAAGAAAATTAAAAAATTATTTATTATAAAATAAATAATTACCTTATGCACTAAAATGATTTTTTTATTTCTTATATATTTATAACGAAATGAACGAATATTCTTTGTTACTGTGCGCTAATAGAATCAAGTGTGTACCTATTTATAATTCGTGTGAATTTATATTTATTTATTATCCATTAATAGCTACACTCCTATTATCCATAATTTATCAAATCTTGAAATGTTATTTGATATTTATATATACATCGATAAATGAGGAAGCTTAAATTTACATAAGCCTTATGGTTTTTCTTTTTCAAGTTTCCTCGCCACTATTATCATTAATTATTGTAAATAATTTCTTTTTTCTTTTCAAAATGTTGTAATGGTGGCAAATTAAATTATTATTATTATGGCAGAGTTGCGAAGAAATTTTGGAATCAAACGCTGTCTAACGACATTTGATTTCAGTAACAAACTTCGGTCTTGCTTTAAATTTTTAGCTTCGCAAATTGCTGTTTTCCAGGGTTTTAATTCCCCAAACTTCCTCTGTCTTGAATATTTGGTCTTCGTTTTGAGATACGCAAACGGATACTTCTGATTCGTGCGCGTTTATTTTGACGCTTCGCCTTCTCAGGTTTTGTTTAAACGATTTTCCCGAAATTATTCGGGTTTAGAAAATATTTGGCAAATTTGGCCATGCGCGATACATACTTCTCCCTTGTGTCGACCTTCTTTATCACATGCATCCATTGCATTTTTCTAGTGCTTGTCTCGATCGGCGCTTTTGTCTCCGTTTCGCTTCGCTTACTTTCATTGTATTGTCTTCTTATACAGCCGATGTATAATGAATATACAGTCTAAATAATATCGGCACTTAATTGAATGCCGGCAATACATAACATCAATTTATATATTGCGCATAAATATGATCTCAAGATTTTCTCAATATTCATGTTTGAAATGTTTATGTATTTGAAAACAACAGTCTCGCTCCTTCCTAGCTGTGTATAATGAATATACCGTCAAAATAATATCGACACTTAATTGATGCCTAGAATCTCAAACATTTTCTCAATGAAATATTCATGTTTCAATGAAATGTTTATATATTTGAAAACAACACTGTGTCACTCCTTCCTAGCTCTGTACTTGGTTTAACTCCCGTAATGCATAACATCATTCTACTCTATATATTGCGTAGATTCTCAAAGATTTGCTACTGGAAGTAAAAGACCTTTGTAAGAGATCCAAAATAACATCTCGTGTACTTACACACACGCTTGGTTGAATAGGATGAATTTACATATTCATAAATCTATTTCGTTCAATAATTCAGAAGAATATTCGAAGATTTATCATGCGTCGAAGCTCAAGCCAATGAAATTCGTTAGCATTTTTCCTTTGTCCTGCTCGGCCTGTAAAATGTTTTATGCCACACTAGGCTAGAAAATATATGTGGCATGTGGTAGCACATAATATGAATATAAGAGGTGATGTTATTTTTGCTATACCCTCTCTCGATGCATATTTACCCATTGCGATGCAGATAAAACAAAAAACATTAATATTAATGAAACTAGACAAGGTATTTGATACGAAAATTCAGACGAAAATTCCTGAAAGAATTACCATAACTTATTCGAAGGGAGTTAGTGCATCATTACATACATGGATGAATTCTTATTCATATTGTTAAGTTTATTAACAAGCCTTATAATCCCCACCAAGGAAGAATTGAAATTTGATTTCCTTCCCCTTGACATCTATCTTGCCAGCATTTATTAATTCATTGATTTCTTTAAACATTTCTCTTCCAGCTGTTTGAAGAACGTTATAGTCTTCTTTGCTATTTATAATTGCAAGTGGATGGATACCTTGATAATTCAAATACATTTATGTTATTTTAATTCTTAAAATAATGCATTAAAGTTACTCTCCGGTTATTAAAGAACTTTTAGTTGCTTTTGTCAATGTGAAAAAGTGAATCTAAAACGATTTGAAGGCCTACCCTTACTTCACCCATGGCAATTTTACTCTGTCTATCACCAGAATTAACTTGTGAGCATTGCATCTTGAAATACACATCTCAGAAGGTCAAAAACTTTATTGCTTACTGTATTACCATTATTAAATGAGAGTTATGAAACAAAAGTGCTGTACAACTGGCATAAGGATTTTGTTTTTTGCATGCTAGCAACTAATTTGTTAGTTACTGCTACTCACCTTTAGCTGACATAACTTTTTCTTCTTCACATAGGATGGAAAAATGACAAAACCACAAAATTTGCCAGTCGGGACATTTTTGCGCCATCCCCATTAATCTTAACACTTTGGGTGGATAACATTTTGTCGCCATTCTGTTGCATGCATCTACACAACAGCAAAATGTGTTATCCATTGTAATATGATTATATTTCAACAACAGCTCTCATCTTAAAGGGAGGGGGCTTATACTGTATGCTAGGCCTATATCTAAAAAAGGACCAGATGAGTGTATAAGTGAGGGAAGATAATTTAAAGGGGGCTTCTTAAACAAATTATAATACATTTTTACCTGCTTTAAAAGCTGGTAATGAAGTTCATCTTTAAAGCTAAGGTGTGCACCTGGCCATTCCCCTGGGGTTCTTGAAATACAGTATATGCTATTTAGCTCTTGCCTGCACTGCTTTATCAGATAGCTGCAAGGTAGATTTTCTTGATCGATCGACTTTTTTATACTGCTATAATCTAAATTGACTTTAACACCGCTTGCGTCAAACAGACAAAGTTTGTCGTTCTCAAACCCAAAGGTTTTAAGAAACCAGAGAGCTTTTTCTGCATTACTCTTCAGTTCATTTAACTCCCTTCGCTGCTGTGTGTAACTAACTTTATCGTAAGTCTTTCCTTTGTTGCCATAGGAATCGCAGTGTTTGCAGCAGTCCCGCTCAATAAGCTTTTTTATCTATTCTTGCAGTTCTTTCAGGGCCGTAGCGAAGGGGGGTATTGGGGGGTTAACCCCCCAACTTTTTTAGAATTAACATATTCGGAAAATTAGGTTGGTCATTCGGAAAATTACGGCAGTAATAGTATAACAAAATTTTAGTTGTTTAAACAGAGAAAATATTATAAAATTGTGTTGTCAGCATCATAAACTGATTTACAAAATCACGGCATTTACATGGATAACATTTAACAAATCGTAGATCGGTAAATGTTTTTCGGTTTATTACTTCCCAGGCCGTAGCAAGGGGGGGGGGCAGCCCTCAATATATCTTTAAAATACTGACAATTGATTAATTTTAAGCGGCTACATTACCCATGGCAAACCGCAAAGAATAGTATTACCCATATACGCCTTCGCCCATTTAGTTCTTCTAAATTGTAAGCAACTGATTAATTGTAAATTTCGACGTGCTAAAACTCTGTTTTCTGACCATCAGAATTCTGTCAAAACTTCCCCCAAAGTCCACGAAATGGCATTTCAGAGACTCTAAATTTAACAATTTCCTCGGGCCTTCGGCCCTCGCCACCCCCTATCAAAAAGAACTTCCTACGGAACTGCACGCTACTGTACGGAACTGCAAGCTTCTGTAATGTCTGTGCGTAAAACAGGAGTATTTTTGTTTGTAAATTGCGTTTTCATTTTCCGGATAGCAAACACCTTCGTGGCTTCGTATGCCATGAAATATTCGGAAATTTTTTTCGTCATTCGGAAATTTTTTGCCTACACCCCC